AAGCACCTAGGCGCAAACAACTTAAGCATTTATGTCCTAGAAACTTAATTAGCCACAAAAAATTAGCCAGGCGTGGTGACAGGCGCCTGTAGTCCCAACTACTCAGGAGGCTGAAGCAGGAGAATGGCATGAAACCAGGAGGCGGAGCTTGCAGTGAGCCGAGATCACGCCACTGCACTCCAGCCTGGGCGACAGAGCCAGACTCCATCTCAAAAACAAACAAACAAACAAACAAACAAAAAAAGAAACAACTAGCCATTTGAAAAAATACACATAAGTTGAAAATACTATTTTAATATATTAAAACAAAATAACATTCTTCTTTCTTTCCCAAATAACCATCTCACTCACTTATGGCGACCGTTAGGCAGTGCACCTCTCAAACCTTGGAAATCAGACTAAACAGCACCACCTTTATTTCTTCTACAAACTGATTTTTGCCTGTACTTAGCAACTGCTAAAAACCCAGCTTCACAAAAATATGACATCATAGAAACGGATTTGGCACCATCTAATGTTGAAATGGAACTATCAGGAGCTAGGAGTTTCAGGGTATCTGACAAATGTACCTGTGCTTCTCTTGGAAACTTAAAATACCTCACTGTACCCACTGTGAATGTGTGCCACAGTGTCTCAGGGCAACAGCACCGTGTGGGACCCTATTGGGAAGTTCTTCTCTTACATAGTAAAAATACACCCTAAGTTATTCACCAAGATTCCTATTAGTAAATACTGATTTATAATTGTCACTTTCAAACAATGTTGCAATAAAAGTCCTTCTACATTATCTATGCATATTTGTCCCATTATTTCATTCACTTGTTTATTCAACTCATTTTTATTACATGTCTATCATGTGCCAGGCACTACTTGAGATACTGAGGGAACATGAATAACGCAGACAAGGTCCCTCATGAAATCCATTCTCTAGCAAGGAAGCAAAAGACAGAAAAACTAATCCTTTCTGGAGTGACAGGCTGTGAAAGAAAATATAGCAGAGAATGATCAGAGAAAGCAAGGGCAGGGCAGGGGATGCTATTTAAACAGAGTGGTCAGGGAAGCGCTCCTAAAGATATGACATCAGCCAGGCGCAGTGGCTCATGCTTGGAATCCCAGCACTTTGGGAGGCCAAGCAAGGGGATCGCTTGAGCCCAGTTCACCAGCCTGGTTAACACAGTGAGAACCCATCTCTACAACAAATTTAAAAATTAGACAGGCATGGGGGTACAAGCCTATAGTCCCAGCTACTGAGATGGGGCTTGGGGGTCTGAGGTGGGAGCATCTTTTTTTTTTTTTGAGACCAAGTCTCACTCTGTCGCCCAGGCTGGAGTGCAATGGCACGGCCTCGGCTCACTGCAACCTCCACCTCTCAGGTTAAAGCGATTCTCCTGCCTCAGCCTCCTGAGTAGCTGGGATTACAGGGGTGTGCCAACACACCCAGCTAATTTTTGTATTTTTAGTAAAGACAGAGTTTCACTATTTTGGCCAGGCTGGTCTCAAACTCCTGACCTCGTGATCTGCCCACCTCGGCCTCCCAAAGTGCTGGGATCACAGACGTGAGCCACTGTACCTGGCCTGGAAGCATCTATTGAGCCCAAGAGGCTGCAGTGAGCTGTGATCGAGCCACTGCACTGCAGCCTGGGGGACAGAGGGAGACCCTGTGTCAAAAAAAAAAAAAAAAAAAATTCAATTTCAACAGAGAACAGCTATAAAGGAACAGGTATGCAGAGAAGCGGTCTGAGCAACGTTGTTCCAAGCAGGAGGAATAGTGAATAATAAAGTCCTTGAGGTGGGAATAAGTTTGCAGTGTTAGAGGAGCAAGCAGTCAGCATGGTTCAAGAAAAGCAAAGAAGAGACTAGTAATGAGATGGAGAGGCAAGCAGGAGCCAAATAAAACAGCACTTTATAGGTCAGAATAAGGAGTCCTGAAACCTCTGGAGAGGATTCCATGCAGGGAAGGGAAGGGATGAAGAGCTCTCTCTAGCCTGCTCTAGCTGTTGTTGGAAACTGTAGGAAGACCAACTAGGGCTACTATAGCACTCCACAGGAAAGATGACAGTAAGGTGGAATATGGTGGGACACGGTGGTGGTGATGGTCATAAATGGCTGGATTCCAGGCATATTTTCAAAAGTAGAACTGACACTCTGGCAGATGGACTAAGTGGAGATTGCGAGAAAGAGAATCAAAGATGGCTTTTAGGTTTTTGGCCTGAGCAAATGGATGGAGAAACATTTACTAAACCATGCAAAACTGGGAAAGGGAGAATTAAGCTTTTTTAACCTAAGGATGAATTTTTGTAAGTGGTAATGCTTGATCAAATGATTCACATATTAAAAGTTGATAAAATTGTCAGACCAGAGGCCAGGCATGGCAGCTCATGCCTGTAATACCAGCACTTTGGGAGGCCAAAGTGGACGGGTCCCCTTTGAACTCCTGAGGTCAGGAGTTCAAGACCAGACTGGGTAACATGATTTCCCACTCCGGAGTTACCGATGTTAAAGGCAATCAGACGAATCCTAGGGAGTCTTTACAAGTTTGGTTAAGAAGCCAAACCCCAGATAGCTACTAAATACAAAAATACTAAATACAAAATACAAAATACTAAATACAAAATACAAAAATACAAAATAAAAAAATAGACAGACGTTGTGGCACACACCTGTAATCCCAGCTAATCGGGAGGCTGAGGCAGGAGGCTCTCTTGAACCCGGGAGGTGGAGGTTGCAGTGAGCCAAGATTGTGCCACTGCACTCCAGCCTGGGTGACAAGAGTGAGATTCCGTCTCAAAAAAAAAAACAAAAAAACAAAAAAAAACTGTCAGACCATCCTCCAAAAAGGTTTTACCAATCTATCTTTCTACCAAAAATGTATAAGCATGTCTATTTCCCAATATTTTTGCAGCAGGGAAAAAAAGTTGGATAAGAGAAATAATTTTATTTTAATCTGGATCTTTTTAATTAGAAAGCCAACTCTTTGCTAGCCATTTGCACTACTTCTGTGAACTGCCTATTCATCTCCTTTACCCATTTTTCTAGTAGATAGGTACTTTCTTTACTGATTTGTAAGTGTTCCTTGTACATCGATAAATTTAACCTTGTCTGCATAATTGCAAGTATTGTTTCCTGATCTGTTTTTCAGCTTTGCCACAGTGCCTCTGTAAACAGAAGTGGCTCTTATTTTTACGTAGTGAAATCTGCCTTGGTCTTCCTTATACATAACGTTTAGCTCATTTTAGGCATTCCATAAAACTTACCTATAATTAACTACTATTAAGGACTTCTGTCTCTGGTATGAGCCCTGCAAAAGCCTTCTATTTTTTTCTAGTATTTTATGGGTTTTTTTAGATTTAAGTCTTAACTTCATCTGGAACTGATTCTGTGGTATGGTGTGAGGTCAGGACGTTCTGACTCCTCACATAGCTGAATTTTCTTCCAGCAAAATGGTCTCTATCCACAAACAGCCACTTAACTCCATTCTTTCCAGCCAGTGGGCTCCCTCTACTTAGCTCCACAAGGGAAGAAGTCCAAGTCACCAATAGCTCTCCCCTAGGACTGCCCTCCTCTCTCTGGTCTCTCCTCCTCCCGCATCAGTTCTTCATAGAGCAACTACAGCAGTAATTTTTCCAATGCGAGTTTGCTGTCACTCTCCTGTTTATAACTGTCCAATGACTACCTACTGAAAATAGAATTAAGTCCTAACTCCTTAACATAACATACAATATCCCATGCTTCTCCAGCCAATTTCTGTAACACTCTTCTTGTCTCATCCACTAAACCTCAGCCACACCGGCCGCCTTTCACCCTCTAGGACAAGCTCAAGTTCATTTCTCCCTCAGGCCCTTTGCACTTGCTATTTCCTCTGCCGGAAAAGTTCTCGCCATAGAAACTACGGCTTCCATGACTGGCTGCCTCTCATCATTCGGGTAAAGTCTTCTCAGACAGGCCTTCTCAGACCCTAACACCATCCCATCTAAAGTAGCCCCACCTCGGCTGGGCGCGGGGGCTCACGCCTGTAATCCCAGCACTTTGAAAGGCCGAGGTGGGTGGTTCACCTGAAGTCAGGAGTTCAGCCACTGCACTCCGGCCTGGGAAACAAGAGCGAAACTCCGTTTCAAAAAGACAAAAAACCAAAAACCAAAAAAAAAAGGGGGGGGGGGATCACCTGAGGGCAGGCGTTCGAGACCAGCCTGGCCAACATGGCGAAATCCCTCCTCTACTAAAAATACAACAATTAACGGGGCATGGTGGCGCATGCCTGTAATCCCAGCTAGTCAGGAGGCTGAGGCAGGAGAACCGCTTGAACCCGGGAGGCGGAGGTTGCAGTGAGCCGAGATCCTGCCATTGCACTCCAGCCTGGGCGACAGAGCAAGACCCAGTCTCAAAAAAATAAAATAAGATAAAAACAAAAAAAATAAAGTAGCCCCAGCTCAGAGACTCTCCGTGGCATTACCCCGTTTCACTCTACTCGAGACAATTGCCATTAACTGAATTATCTTGTTCATTTATTGTATTCGTGTTTACCGCCTGCCCTTTCCCACAGACAGTGCTCTTTAAGGTCCTGGTCTGTCGTGTTCACCTCTGTAACCCCAGAGTCTCTTCTGTCTACAATACAGCAGGCACTCAATTAATATTTGTATTACAGAAGAGGAGGAAGCTACCTGGGGTTTGGCTTCTTAACCAAACTTGTAAACACTCCCTAGGATTCGTCTGATCGCCTTTAACGTCGGTAACTCTGGAGTGGGAAATCAGTCACCCTTCTCTCTCTCCTTCTTACCCTCCGGCCAGCCCCCTGTCTCGGACAAAGCGCTAAGTTTGCTCAATTCTTTGCAAAATACAACTCTGGGAGGCCCGAGACTGGCGCCTGCACAGCCTTGGCAGCTGCTGAGCCATGCTCCTGGCCCGTCACCCATAGGCAGCGAGAAAGCGCCAAGTTTCCGCAGCCCCCGTCCGGCCCCGCCCGCCAGGGAAGGAGGGAGGAAGGGGAGGGCAGAGCCTCTTACCAGTTCATCCGGACTCAAGACTCCGAACTGGACTCTCTTGATGGTGCGCAGCGGGCATGCGCTGTCCCCCGAAGGGGGGCCACCCCCGTGCATGGCGGAGGCAGGCGCGCTGCGCAGGCGCAAACCTCACTACAAAAAGCCTGCGCCGCCTCCGCCTAGGTGCTCAGACCTCGTCAGGGCGGCCACCGGGAAGGACCTCCCCGAGTTGGGAGGAAAAAGCCGGAGGAGGGGAAGGTGGGGGAGGGAAGGAGGCGGGGAAATAAGGAGCGAAAGGAGCCCTTCTTTCCCTTACCGGAAATTGTTCAGCTCCCAAAAAGGAAAAAAAAAGAAGGGGAAAAGGAAAAGGTTTTTGGGGGAGGAAGAAGAAAAAGGGTAACGAATAAATAAGTAACCGGGCTCCTGAACGGCAGAGGTTACGGCAGTTTGTCTCTCCCCCTTCCGGGAGCCGCCTTCTTCTCCAACCGTCCCGGCCGCGCTCTCGGCGCTTCTGAGCAGCGAACTCGCCGAACGACGCCTCTTATAGATTCGCCCTCGCGTCCCCGCCCCTTCCTTTCCCGCCCTCCCTTGCGCTACGGGGCCGCCTGCGCAGGCCCGCACGGGGTGCGAGCCAGAGTCGTAGGTCCTCCCCCCGCTCGCTGATTGGGCGACATTTTGAAGTGACTGGGAGAGAGGAATTTTTTTCTTTAATCCCACCGCCTCTCCTCGCTGCTCCCTTCTGCACTGAGATTTAAGGTTTGAAGACTCGAGGGTAAAATTGGGCCGCTTTCATTCTAGTTTGGACAACGGTTTCATCTTCAGCAAAAGCCTCTCATTCGTAGCACCCCCCCAGCTGGAAAATGGTCTGCTCTGCGAATCGGTAATGGAGGCGGGGTGGGGCGGGTCCTCCCGAGTGGGCTCCCGGGGGAGGGCGGTTGCTCATGAATATGCAGTTCTCTTGCTGAATATGCATGAACAAGCCAAGATGGCGGGACCAGTGGCTTGTCCGGAAGTAGCCGATGTTGGTCAAACGGCCCCCAGAGACGAGTGGGCATCTCCTGGCCTCTAGTGCCGCGCCGTACCGAGCCATGGTCCTAGATCCATGGCCTGAGCCGCTCGAAGAGACTTCAGCTCGGAGGCCTGCTCTGGAAGGAGCCTGGCCACTGTCCGGGAGAGATCACGGGACCGTGACAATCCGAGAAAAGCAGATTAGCCATGGGGCGGGCCACGAAAGTCCTGAGGGATTTGGGGTCAAGGCATCTGAACATTAGGAAATCCTTCACACTGTAGAATATTTCAGGAATAAAATGGAGGGCGGGGATCCCAAGGGATTCTCCAATGAGAACGGTCGTAGGACTTCCACTCTCCCTCCAAAGCAGAGACGACACCACTGCACAGCCACATTCAGAGTAATCCTTGTTTGATGTCAATGTCACGTCACCACCCCAAGGGGGGGGCACAAGCACGAGAAAAGGAAACCTTCGCCGTGAGGGGAGGGGTGGGGAGGCACGCTCCCCTCCCCCAGCGCAGCTGCTGGCTGTGTCTTTGCCGGAACACTCCAGCCCCAATGCTCTTCTCTTTGCTGCTGAGTGAAGTCCTCCCCGTGGCCCACGGCCTGCCTGCCGTGGATCTGCTCCTCAGACTTTACCCCTTAGTTATGCCCTGATTCCCAGGACCCAGCCTGGACTCCACATCCCTTGGTCCCAGGCTGGCTCCAGGTCTTCCAGGTAGTCACTCTCCACCAAGTCCCCAAGTCACCCTTGACTCTGAGAGGTACCCTCTCCCACACCAGTTCTTTTCCAGTCACTTGTCCTCCCATGTTCGTCTTCAGTCTTTGCCTCTATTTACCCCTGCCCCTCCCAACCCCCGGGCTCCCAAGTTCTATCTCACTCCTCCACCTTCCCTTCCCTCTCACAGCTGAGGTTCCGGGCTGTGATGATGGCAATGCTGCCCAGCACAACCCCTGCCCCCATGATGTCAGAAGGTGCCACAGTCTCATAGAGCATATAATACTGCAGTATAAGGGCCACCACCACCTCAGAATGCAGGACAGCGCACACCAGGGCAGGGTGGGCCTTGGTGACCGCATAGCTCACACATGTGAAGGAGACCAAGGCGAGGATCCCCACTGCCCCCACACAACTCCAGCTCAGAAGGTCACTGGGCAGCACGGGGGTCTGCAGCACGAAGAGGCCTGGCACAGAGCCCAGCAGCCCCACCAAGCCAAATAGGAAGGCCACTGTTGGGAGGCAGGAGGGAAAGTGCAGAGAACGATAGACCAGAAGCCCCAGGGACAGCGTCAGGCCTCCCAGGAAAGCCAGCACATAACCCAGGGCGGTGTAGAGACCCGTGGTCCCCTCCTGCAGTGTCCCTAGTCCAGGTCCCACAATGATGATTAGTCCTAGGATGCTGCCCAACAGTCCACACCAGTCGTAGCCACTGAGACCCTGGCTCTCAAGGCAGAGGGCGAGGAGGGCGGAGCAGACGGTGGAAGAACCTTTGCGAACAGTGGCAGCGTTGCCAGCGGGCACCACCTGAACCGCACTGTAGGCACATCCAATGCTGAGGACGTTGAGCAGGGCATGGAGGCAGGCCCGGCCTCGGATGTCAGGAGGTCCCAGAAGTGGGTCGCCACGCAGTTTAAGTAGCAGGGCAATAGGGAGGTGAAAGAGACACCGACAGACGAGCAGCTCCAGCGAGGGCAGGTTGGAAGCCTGGTAAGCCATACGAGAAAGGGGGCCCACGAAGCCAGCAGGCAGGCCCCCACCCAACAGGGCCACCAGCAGACCCTTGGTGGCATCAGAGGGCTGGCAGCGCTGGTGCGAGGGGAGGCTGGGTGGAGTGGAGGGCGGCGATGGCTGCGTGAAGTCGGGCAGGTTGAAGTAGGGGTGACTGCCAGCCTGTTAGGGAGAAAGGAGCTCAGGGTAGACAGTAGCCACAGCCCGGGTGACCTGGGGCAGGGCAGATGCGAGGATGGGGGCTGGGAGGAAATCTTGGGAGCTAGAAAGGACCTAAGAGATGAGTGAGATGGTATAATGTAGGTCTGCAGCAGGAAGCAAGGAGTGAGCAGTCCTGGAGTATCATTTCCTAGGTAAGTTGTTCCTGGGAGGAGAAAAAGGAACCAGGATGCCCTCTTGGATTGAGGAAGGGGAGGAAGCCTCAGATGCTATGCATCTGTGTGATGCCACAAGTTCCAGAGACACCTGGGTACACCATTATGAATTCTATTTGTGGGTATCTCTGAGACAGCTAAGTTTTAGGAAAGGAGGGGAAATGGAGCAACCAGGAGCTATAGGGAGGGAGTATTGGGCCCCTGGCCCCCACACTCACCATCTTTCCTTGGACTTTCTCCTCTCTCCTCCTGGCTCAGGGAGCCTGGGCCCCTCAGAGCTCCAGCCATTGTGACCTGGTTGGAGTGGGGGTGGGGTTCTTCCCTGGAACCCTCCTGAGGTGGTAGTGCGCCTATTTTCCCACTGAGTCTAACTCTGCTTCTTTTCTTTCTTTTTTTGTTTGAAATGAAGTTTCCACTCTTGTTGTCCAGGCTGGAGTGCAATGGTGTGATCTCATCTCACTGCAACCTCCACCTCTCAGATTCAAGCGATTCTCCTGCCTCAGCCTCCCAAGTAGCTGGGATTACAAGCGCCCGCCACCACAGCTGGCTAATTTTTCTTTTTTTTTTTTTTTTTTTGAGATGGAGTTTCGCTCTTGTTGCCCAGGCTGGGGTGCAGTGGTGCGATCTCGGCTCACTGCAACCTCCGCCTCCCAGGTTCAAGCAATTCTACCTCATCCTCCTAAGTAGCTGGGATTACAGGCATGCACCACCACACCCAGCTAATTTTTTATTTTTAGTAGAGACGGTGTTTCTCCATGTTGGCCAGGCTGGTCTTGAACTCCTGACCTCAGGTGATCCGCCCACCTCGGCCTCCCAAAGTGCTGGGATTACAGGCCTGAGCCACTGCACCCGGCTAATTATATTTTTTGTTGTTTGTTTTTTTTTGGTAGAGATGGGGTTTCACCATGTTGGTCAAGCTGTTCAGGAACTCCTGACGTCAAGTGATCCACCCCACCTCAGCCTCCTGAAGTGATGGGATTACAGGCATGACCCACCCTGCCCAGCCCAGGCTGGAGTGCAGTGGCACCATCTAGCCATCTCGGCTCACTGCAAGCTCCGCCTCCCGGGTTCACGCCATTCTCCTGCCTCAGCCTCCCAAGTAGCTGGGATTACAGGCGCCCGCCACCACACCCGGCTAATTTTTTTGTATTTTTAGTAGAGACGGGTTTCACCGTGTTAGCCAGGATGGTCTCGATTTCCTGACCTCATGATCCGTCCGCCTCAGCCTCCCAAAGTGCTGGGATTACAGGCGTGAGCCACCACGCCCGGCCTCAGAGAGGTTTTAAGGCAAGGAGCTCTGAAGCCTGGCTCCTCTATCTCCTTAGTTTTTAATTTTCCAGCACCAGGGAGGAGTTCTTGGGATTGTCCCTGTGGAGTTTCAGGAATGTGTTTTTTTCTGTGTGTGCTTCCACCTGGTGTTTTGTTGATGCTGTCCCCAGAGGCCGACAACAAGGCTTCTGCATTTATGTTCAAGGATACAGATGTGGATCTATCTGCTGGTGGGGACAAAGTACCCAGCCAGCTTCGTGTGTTCATTTGCGCTGGTGGGCGTTAATGTGTGCCCCGTGTGCATGGCCAGGGCCTTCCTTTTCCGCGGCCTGCTGAGCGTTCTTGCGCATTCCTGGAGAGGGTGTGTGTGTGTGTGTCCAGGGCTGGCCCTCTTTGAGTGTGCTGACCCTGAGTCTGTGGGTCCCACTGGGCCTGATTATGAGTCTGCCATGTCATGTCTGCACCCTGAGAGCCTGTGTGTTAAATGCTTTCAGGCAGTGTGCACCGCTGAGTGAAGGGCGTGCAGGGAGAAGGGCGGAGGGAGCCCTTTCCCTGGGGGTCGGTGGTCTTGCGCCCCTGCCGGGGTGCTGCAATCCGGCCCGCGCCCGG